ATCTTAGAAAGAGCACCAGCCAGGGGAGACATGGGGGGAGAGGAAGAGTGACAATCTCAAGCAGACTTCCCATTGAGCATGGAGCCCAACATGGGGCTGATCCCAGGATCCCAAGATCATGACCTGAGCTGAAATCAAGAGCCAGCCGTCCAACTGACTGAGCCACCCAGGCGCCCCTGGATCCAGTATTTCTGATGAGAAATTAGCATTCATTTGAGTCCTGATGCCTCTGAATGTAACATGGTTTTATTCTAGCTGCTTACAAAATGTTATCATTATTTTGGTCCTCAGCAGTTTAATGGTTAGGTGTGGTTTTCTTGATATTTATCCTCTTTGGAGTTAACTGAGCTTCCTAAATGTGTGCATTGATGTCTTTTCCCATACTGGGGATTTCGTCAGTCATTATCCCTTGAAATCTTTCTCCTACTCTACTAACTCTCTCCTCTCTTTCTGGAACTCCAATTATGTGTATGTTATACATTTGTTGTTGACCTACAGATCCCAGAAGATCTGTTCTTTCCTCTTTCAATTTATTTTCTCTCAAGTGTATTAAGTCTTTCTTCCAGCATCTTGAATTTTCAGTTAAGCAATTCAGTGGTTTTCTGTTTCAGATACTGTATTTTTTAGTTATAGGATATCCATTTGGTTATTTTTTTTTAAAGATTTTATTTATTTGACAGAGAGAGAGACAGCGAGAGAGGGAACACAAGCAAGGGGAGTGGGAGAGGGAGAAGCAGGCCTCCCCCTGAGGAGGGAGCCCAATGCGGGGCTCGATCCCACAACACTGGGACCATGACCTGAGCTGAAAGCAGATGCTCAACGGCTGAACCACCCAGGCACCCCTCCACTTGGTTATTTTAAAAATAGTTTCTCTTTCTCTGTTGAAATGCCCCCCCCTTTTTTTTTCATCTAGTGGGAGCAAATTTTCCTTTACATCCTTGAACATAGTTATAATTCCTACTTTAAATTTTTTTTCGTTTGCTAATTCTAACATCCAGGGCATTCCATAGCTAGTTTCCATCAATTATCCTTATATTAAGTATGGGCAATGTGCTCTTATTCCTTTGTGTGTCTTCATATAATTTTGGATTATATCCCGGGTATTGTGAATGATAACATTGTAGAGATTCTAGATGTTTAGTATGTCCCTCCAAAGAGCATTTTTGTTTTATTTTGTGTTTGTGAGCAGTTAACTTGGTTGAACCCAACGGCAAACCCCATCTCTGGGGAGATGGGCACAAACTCCAGTTCACTTCTTTTAGCCTTAGCTGGGCTGCTTGGAGTCTGTCATGGGTATGCATGTTTTGTGGCCAAAGATTTGGGCAGAATTTATGTGCTGTATTTGGGGACCTCCCTCAGGCATCCCCCTTTCTAGAATTTAGTACCTCACTTTCTGTCTACTATTATGGTTTCCCCAGCCTCTGTCACCTGGTTCATTGAGTCTTAAGTGTAATACTTTCTACCTGAGTTTCAACAGCTACATGGCACAGACTGGGACCTGTTCCCAGACTAAAAGCCATGAAAATTACTCACTGGGTGAGTGATTGCTAATTTTCCTGCAGGTTCCAACTGCATTTGGTCCCCTCTAGTGCCTTCAGGTAGCTGTGTTTTATTGTTCTTCTGCTGAGACTTTGTAGTTGTGATTGGTGAGAGAGTTGATTCAACAGGAGCCACCAGGCTATTAGCAGAAGTGAAAGCTCCTATGGAGACATTCAGAACAGTGCCTGGCTGATGAGCACGTAAGACACGTGAGCTGATGTTATTGACTACACCGCTGTGTTCCCTTCCATGGTCAAGATGAGAAGCAATGTGGATACGGACACCCTCATGAAAGAAGAGGTCCTCATTCAATGAGGGGCACACAGTGGGCATTAGACTGTTGTTGTAGGAGACCACTGAACTGGGGGGCAGTAGCACTCTCTGGGAGGCTTCCTGGAGGAGGTGGTATTGGGGCAGGAGATGTGTCAGACGTTCCAAGATGAGAGAATAGACTTTCTGATTTCAGGGTTTTATTGATAAGGATTGCTAGCTCTCGGGGGAGGTAACCTTTCCTAGGGGAAGCCCTGGAAGTTACTTCCTGTAGCAGTGAATAGATGTGAAACATCCAGGAGCCCCAAAGTCCGAGGAAGCAATGCCTTGGCCTGCTTACTCCCTAAATGTTCCCAGGATGGGACTAGTGCAGGGCTGGAGGTCAGGACCCCCAAACCTGCCTAGTAAGGTTGAGCTACCACTCATTTTGCTCACTTCTGAGCCTGCCATTGCGAAGTCTGTGGAGGCCAGTAGCAAGGATGACAGGGAGCTTTAGTTTTCTCTCCAGTTAATTTTGGTAACTCCTCATTCCTCAAAGTTGTGATCCTTCCTCCCCAACACACCCTGTGGTCCCACTGGAGCTTCCAACCCTGGGCAGACTCTGTTATGGCCATGCTACAAAACTGAGGCTTAGAGAAGTGGTGTGACCAACCCAAGGCCACACAGCTAAGGCGCTGGGGCCGAGACTCCAACCCAGGACTTCCCACTGGCCCTTGAACAGCTCGGGAGATTGCCCCGGTGCAGGGTCCTCCATCTCTCCAGCTGCCAATGGAAATAATAGCCATATCCCCCTCAGGGGCTGGCGTGAGTTTCAAAAGAGGCTGAGTGTGTGAAACTGACACATAAATTGTAAATTGCCTACAGACGTTAGTGTCTGTTACTGTGGTAACCGCCCAGCATTTATAGACTGCGTTTGCTCTGGGTACCAGTGGTCACATTGGCATTTTAATTTAATAGCATTGTTATTCTTCCGTCGTAAAAACAATATAAATTATGCATATGTCCAAACTCACCAATTGTACATATTAAATATGTGCATTTTTGTAAATCAGTTATATCCCAATAAAGCTATTAAAAATTACCTTCATTACAGAACATTGAGAAAATGTAGAAAAGTAGAAAAAGAAACAAAAATATTTTATTGCAGCAACCCCAGAGTACCCTCTGCTAATGTGGGGGGGGTGGTAGTCATTTTTCGGCTTTTCTTCCCTCTGCCCAGTGTGTTTGCCATTTAACATGGCTGTGATCACTGGTGTATATAATTAAAAGCATTTTATACACAATTTTATATCCTGCTCTTTGCCCCTTAGGGGCTGCTAATAGGAAGAGCGAGGGCTGCTGCCTTGCTGTCTGGGACCCCGGCTCCGCTGGGCTCTGGCTCCGGGTCCGGTGTGCTTGTGCTCCTGGGTCACGGTGGATGGCCCCGGGGACGGCCTGACATATCCCCCCGCTCTGTGCTCAGCAAGCATTTACACATTCCCATCCGCTGCTCTCCTTGTCTTGTTTTTCTAAGTTTAATGAAATGTGCTTTTATTGTGATCTATGGAAAGTCCAGCTCATCATCCCACTTCTAAACCACCTTCTCTCTCCTCATTTCTTTTTGTTGTCAAACGGGCATTTACTTAGGCTCAGAAGGCTAGTGCAGGCCAGAAGCTGCCTGTAACAGGCACTGATTGGAAAAGCAAAAGGTGTTGATTGAATAGGAAAGTGAAAATCACTTGAGGGCTTGAGATAAGACATAGCAGGTACTTTTGAGAAGCAGCAAGGAGCCCCATCTGAGTGGAAGAGCGAGGTGGGCAGGAGGGAAGATGAGGCTGGGCGGGGTGAGAGGGGTTGTCTTTTACCAAGTGGAAAACATGAAACTCAGTGGCAATCAACCACAAACAATTTCTTCTTGAGCACCTGATGATCCTGTTCATCTGGACTGGGTTGGGCTGGGCGAGCAGGGGGGCAGAGTCCCTGCTTGGGGCTGGCGTGGCTGGGTGACTCTGCTGCATTCCTCTCCCCCTCCCTGAGACTGCTGGGCTGGCATGGGCAGGTCCTTCTGGCAGGGGCAGGGACAGGATGGTGGTTTATCTGATGGTGTCCCATAGGCCAGAGCAAATCACGTGGCCAAACCCAGAGCTGGGGAGTGGTGGCAGTGGGGGGGCCTGGGGATTGCCCAGCCCAGGGTGGGAGGCAGGGCCATGTTCTGCGCAGGTGCAGGAGAAGGGCCAAGGTCTGGGCTTCTGATGTGGTCTGCCTCTGGGGACTGCAGACCACTCAAGCTTTAGACCCCTCTGAGACATCGCTTTACTCCAAGGTCAAATGGGGATTTGACTCAGAGGGTTTCGGGTGGGCTCCCTCGTGCTCTGCTAGGGTTAGCATAAGCAGCGGCAGGGAGAAAGCAAAGAGATCCTTTAGGGGGCTGTTGGAATCTTCCAGGCAAGAGGCAGGGAGATGTGGGTGGGATCTGGCTACATTGCGTAGGCCTGGCCAGGAGGGTGGGACACGGCCCATGGAGAGGGAGACTGAGAAAGGGGTCAGGGAGACTCCAAGGCTTGGGCCCGAGCCAGGGGAGGATGGAACTGCCACCACCTGGTGGGGGAGGCGGCCCAGGAGGGCTTTGGGAGGGCACAGCATCCGGTTTGGGGGACCAGTGCAGCATTTGGGGCCGAGACACGCTGTGATTCAGGTCACTGTAGGAGATTGGACTGGGGGCTGTATTTAGAGCAGTTGTTTATTGGAGAGTAGGTCTCCGGTGCTGAAGCTGGACCTGGTGCCTACAGAGTCCAGGCCAGGAATGTGTGAAGGTTACGGGAGTCCCTCCAATGGGGAGCTCATGGGGGGCAGGGATGACCATAGCTGGCCCCAGTGGACCCCAGAGTAGGGCTAGTGTCAGATTGTGGCCCATTCACCTGGTCAGCACACGAAACCCCCAAGCTGCTTCTGGAAGGAGGAGGAGAAAGGAAGGAAGCAGGAAGGAGAGAGAGGGAAGCAAGCCTGCAAATAGGTCTCCATCCTGCAGCCAGCTGGGAGGGGACAGGGGGGACCATCGACCCCTCGTTAGTACCCCTGACCCTCGGGCCCCTTCTTCTGGATGGTGGCCCAGCCCATGGGTGCAGGCTCTGGTGGGGGGTGCTGTTCTGTTGAGCTGCACAATACTGGGTCCTAATGAGCCACACCTTCCTGTCTCTCCCTACTCCCCACAGCCGATATCATCTCTACTGTTGAGTTCAACCATACCGGAGAGCTGCTGGCCACAGGTGACAAAGGTGGCCGGGTTGTCATCTTCCAGCGGGAACCGGAGGTGAGGTGGGACCTGGTGGTGGCGGGAGGGGGCACCACACCCCACCCGGGCCTTTGCTGGCTCTGTCCTGGACTCCAGGGACGCATTCAGAACAGGCAGGGGCAGCTGTGGCCCTGGGTTAAGCCTCCGATTGCTGCCCTCTGCCTGGGTGTCCCGGCCAGCGGTGAGGGGACAGGAAGACTGCGTTTTCTGGAGCCATGCGGCTGCCTTCAGGCTGGGGTTGGTGACTTGGCTGAGCCCCAGGCCTCGCCCTTACGAGGTTTGCTGTCCAGCAGAATTTCAGGTCAGACAGGGGTGGCCTGGAACAACCCACCTAGGGGCACTGTTTCTGAACTGCTATGAGAACATCATGATAAAAGAACCCCGTTTGTTGAGTACCTACTATGTGCAGTTACCTTGCTGTGTTCTCTACACACTTTTGTCATTTACTCTCCACTGCCCACCTCAGAGGGTGGGGACTGACAACCATTTTACAGATGAGGACAGTTGGAGAAGTTGCCCAGCTAGTGAGCAAAGACCGGGGGCCGAAACCAAGGCAATGTGTTGTCACGTACACCGTGCCTCGGAGAGGGGTGACCCACACACCAAACACACGCAGGGATTCGATGCTGAGGATGGGAGGGCGAACACCAAGGAGGTGGAGGACAGGGAAGGGAGAGGGGAGGGCAAGTGGGATGAAGGGAGAGGAAAGAGGGGTGAGGAAGAGAAGAGGAGGAGGGGGGATTGAGAAGGAGAGCGGGGAGGAGAGGGATGAAGGGGGCAGGAGAGATGTTGCAGATACATCTCTGCCCCATTCTGTTCCAGAGTGTTCCTCAAGGTCTGACTTCTTCGTGTTCCCTCCCCCCCCCGTAACCCCCCCTCACGACAACCCCATTGGGGCCTTTAGGTGCTATAAGAGCCCTCACGTCACAGATGGGCAGACCGAAGCTCGGAGGGTATGACCTAACTTAGCCAGGACACATAGTGAAAAACAGACAGCTGAAAATCGGTTACCCGAGCACAGGCCTGTGGCCGGAGCATGCCAATTTCACGAGAAGGACCGGGTCGCCCACCGGCGATTGCAAAGCCAAGCCTCCTTTTTGCGGAAAGAAAATTAAATGGGTAGATATACGTTTCTTGACTTTGGAATTTTTCTCCCATAATTTTTTTCTGTATTCTGGTCCCTGTGACCTTAGTCATAGACAGCGCTCGTGGCAGCTGAAGGGACTTAGAGGCAAAAACACAGAAGTTTGCCAGAAGCAGGACAGGTGTATAAATATAGCAATAGATGCTTTTGGAAAAAATCAGCGGGAACTTGAAATTCTGTCTGGTTGACTGTCTCTGTTTGCTCGCGGGCTGGTTACATGTCTGGCTGAAGCTTTGTATCACCACGTACACTGAACATGTCCACTGAGAAGCCCAGCCCTGTGCCCACAACGCCTCCCCACCTCACTGTTTGGAGGGCCCTATCACGAGGGTCCTTGTTATTGGGAGCTCTGCTACCTCAACCAGGATGGGCCCATGGAGGAAAGCCACGGGGACGATGGCCCGGCTCCAGTCTGACATTCCAGAATATTCTACCTCTGTGTAAAAATCTGCTCCAAGATGCATGCATCCCATTAGTCAGGACCAAGTTGGACACTCGGACTGGAAGAGCAGACCGGAGCCTTGGCCTTGGTGTCAGACAGACCTCAGAGGCACGAGGGATGCATGGCCTTTGAGGGGAGCAGTCAGTTCACCTCCGAATCTCCACTTTCTCATTTGTAAAATGGGGGAGAATGGCTGTGCCCACTCTAGAGGGGTCATGCAGATAGAACAAGATGGAGAGGGAGAAGCACTTAGCTCAGCATCCTACACATAGTAGGTGCTTAGTAAATGTGAGCCACCCTGATTGCTGGACTGAGGAGGAGATGGGGCTTGGCCACAGCCACGCTCCAAGTCATTGGTCATTTAAAATGCAGAGTTCCCTTTGACCCTGGCGTCAGATCACCCAGCCCTGGTGGACACGGGCTCCTTGTGGTCAGCGCGCCCCTCACCCCTGCACCTGCCGGCCTGGAGCTCATGCCCCCTTGTCTGGCTTTTCTCACAGAGTAAAAATGCGCCTCACAGCCAAGGCGAGTATGACGTCTACAGCACCTTCCAGAGCCATGAGCCTGAGTTCGATTATCTCAAGAGTCTGGAGATAGAGGAGAAAATCAACAAGATCAAGTGGCTTCCGCAACACAATGCCGCCCACTCCCTGCTGTCCACCAACGGTGAGGGGCATGCGTGGGGGTGGGGCGCCGGCTCTCTGGTGCTCTTTCCCAATTCGCTTGGACTGAGCATCCTTCTAGGTCCCCAGAGCTCTGAAAGAGCATCTTGAGCGGTGGGAGCATTCCAAGTCATGAGGTTCATGGCTTCCTCTGCCCTGGCCCGTGGGGGATGTGGGGCTTGTTTGCACTGCGACAGCTGGCTGGGTCAGGGACATCTCTGTCATTACTGTTCCAGTCACTCAGAACATGGGGCAGGCAGCAGCAGGAGGACGGGTCCAGAAGCCTGGCTGGACACTTGACTGTTCTGCCCCAGGGAGGACGCATGCACCACTCCCCCACCCCCGCCCAGGCCCCAGGGAGGCTTCTGGCCAGACTCCTGCTTCGATGTGTCCCACTCAGGGCCTGGGTGCTGGGGCCCAAGGCTCGGTGTCCCCCTGCTCACCCTCCTGCATCTCTCGCCCCTGTCATCAGTGGTGTCTGAGTGGTGGGAGGACAAGCCTGGACTCTGTCCCAGCCCTGTGAACTTGGGGTGGTGGCTTTGCTTCCCTGGGCCTCGGTTCCCTCCCCTGTACAGCGGGGTGGACATAGCTCCCCCAGATTGTGGTCGGGGTGACATGGAGGCCACACGGCCAGGACCCTGAGGCCAGCCAGCCCTGCTGCAGCATGTGTGAGCCTCACACAGTGACGCCACCTGTCTTCCCTGACAGAGCCCAGACTTAGTGTAGCAGCTAAGGCATCCTCTAGACTGTTTGGACTTGACCCCTCCAACCCTTGCGCCTGAAGGCCGCCCTGTCTGCCCCTTACCTGGCCAGCCCCTCCTCATCCCTCAGACCTCCAGTGCATGTCACCTGCCACTGAGCCTTTGCAGACTTCTCCGCTGAGCCTGCTGTCCCTCCCGCAGTCAGTCCTGGCCGCCTCCCACCCCTGCCAGCGCCTTCTGACCCCTAGCCTGTGCTCTGAGGCTCCTGCTGCTATCATCCTTCACTGCGCCCAGTGCAGGACCAAGTCCCCTAAGGGTGCCTGGCCCTGGGCTATGCTCAGGCAGGAGTCCGTCATGTGGTTCACATCCCGGCCCTGCCACTTCCTCATCTGCGTTGCCATGGTTGTTCCTGCCTCTTGGGGGCGCTGACTGGACGAAATGACGAAAAGACACAGGGTGGCTTAGAACAGGGCTGGTGCTAGGGAGTCGCACATGCGTGCTCCTTTCCTTTAACCGTGGGAGTGGGATGTTTCATTCTCCTCCTGTCCCCCGGGAGGGAAGGTCAGCTTCAGGAGCTTCTTGACCCCGGGTTTAAATTCCACCTGCACCCTTTCAAAAGGGCATGTCCTTGGTACCTATCAAGGGTTTGATGATAGCTGTTGTCTCCCTTTTCCTTCTCCCGAGAAGACTGTTTTGGCTACAGTAGCAGTCCCAGAAGCAGAACCGATATGATAAGCGTGTGTGTGTGTGTGTGTGTGTGTGTAGGTGTGTAGGTAGGGATACACATGTACTTACAGATAAGATATATGGAAAGAGATATTTTAAGTTGTCTCACATGATTGTGGGGGCTGGAAAACCCAAAATTTGCAGGGCTGCGTGGAAGGCTGGAGATCCAGGGAAGAGCTCATGTTGCAGCTTGAGTCCGAAGGCCACCTGCTGGCAGAATTCTCTCTTCCTTTGGGGATTGGGGGGGCGGAGGGGAGGGGGTGTCAGGCCTTTGAAGGCTTTCAACTGATTAGACGAGGCCCACCTGCAGCATGGCCAGCTGTCTGCTTCGCTCTATGTTTTTATTTATTTTTCTGTGTGTGTGTGTGGTTTAACAGAAGTTTGTTCTTCATTCCCATAAAGTCCATCGCAGGGCTGTGGGACTTTCCAGAACAGCTGTTCTCAATGCAGGGGGCTCAACATTACAAAGTACTTTGAGTTTCTGACCCCTGTTTCTGTATGGGTTTCCACGACTGGAATTCCCAGCCACCCCATCTCCTGAACTGTGCTCTGTGCTGGTGTTAATCATGCGTCTCATTGCGTTTTCTCTGTTTTGAAAGATAAAACTATCAAACTATGGAAGATCACGGAACGAGATAAAAGGCCCGAGGGATATAACCTGAAAGATGAAGAAGGGAAGCTTAAGGACTTGTCCACGGTGACGTCACTGCAGGTAAGATGTGGAACGCGGGAGGTTCTGGCAAGCGGGAAGCAGTGTGGGCTTCTTTTGTGAAACAGTGAGACTTCAGGACTTGGGCCTTTGAGATTTGAGCCAGAGTTGGGTTCGGGTCCTGGCTGGGCTGCTTCCCTGTGGGGAGGCTGCAGGCTCTTCTCTGGCTCTAGCCTTGGGCTCTTCATGAGCTAAGTAGAGGCCATTCTCTTTCTCTCAGAAGTGATGTGGCGGTGAGGTGGGGTGATGCGTGTCCTGGAGAACTCATGGGCTGAACTTCGTGGATTCCAAGCCCTTTGCTGAAGGGCCGAGAGAGGCCTGGAATAGGTGATTCTCGCCACCTGCTCAGTGGGAAAGAGGGCTATTTGAAAAGAGGCTGGGAAGGTTCAGCTGCGGGGCCGTGCCAAAGCAAACTCTCGTTCCCACATGATTAAAAGGCAAAAGAACTCCTCTTTCTTCCAAAGGCTGTGAGACACAGTGGAGAGTGTTCTGGAATCCCAGGATCTGGGTTCCAGTCCTGCCTGGGCCACTGGCTGCCGGTGTGGCCTTGGGAGGCACTCAGCCTCCGTGAGTCCACTGACTCCTGGTCTGGAATGAGCATAAGCACTGTGGCCAGCATGAGTCTTCCAAGCACTCTACCCATGGTATCTCAGTCCTCCCCAAAGTCCTATAAATGGGACACATGACTATCAATGCCATTTGACAGATGAAACGAGAGCCGGGATCCAAACCCAGGAAAGTCTGGCTCCAGAGTCAGCATACCAGGGTCTTCCATGATGTGGGAGCGAGGTCTCAGCCTTCCGGGAGAGCAGTAGGAATGGTCAGTGGTGTTCTGCGAGAAGATTCCATAGAAGTCTGTCCCTGTCCATCTCCAGCAGGCAGGGAGCATAGCCAGGCCATCTTGTCTGCCCCTTGCTTCCAGAATGGAGCCTGGAACATGGCAGGGCTCTCTGCTCGTGTCTGCCGAAGGGGATGCTGGCGCATGGCTCATTTGGACTTATTTACACATTGCACACCTACTGAGCACCAGTTTTGTGCCCAGCCCTGCTTGGGGCATGGGGAGCCCTCAGCGAAACAAAGAGCCTGGGGGCAGGATTGGGTCTGAGTCTCAGTTCCCCTGTTCGTGGGACCAGCTTGGCTCTGAGGAGGCGGCCTGAGCCTCACCGGTACCTCTCTTCAGCTCCGATTTCCATGTTTTGGCCAATCGGAAAAGCCTGGGTCACATCGCACAAGCTGCCTGTCCTCCTGGGAGAGGGGGACCAACTCACGACTCTGAGTGTGCACCGCTCCCCCGGGGGCCTGGGGATGGGAGGACAGTGGCGAGACCTGGCATGGGTCTGTTAGCGTTTCTCCCGGGCTCCCAACGGCTCCCAGGTCCACTTGTGGTTGGTCAGGCGGCTGAAGGCAGGGCCCTGCCCCATGCCTCCGTTTCCTCACCAGCAAAATGGGGATGAGGACTCACTTTCCCTGAAGCAGCTCAGTGTATACGCTTACTACATGTGCAGGGAATCGTCGTAAATATGAAACAGTAATCAATGTTGGTCCCGAGTTGAAGAAATAAATGTTTAAACATATCAGCCTCTAAATGACTGGCAAATTGTGCAAATAAATTCTGAGAAAGCCAGGAGGCCAATTAGCTTCCACATTGAGTAATGGGAGTGACGTGCTCCCTCCCATGCCTCCCCCAGCCCCCAGGAAGTTTATGAGGCTTTCATCTGGTGGGAAGGATGCAATTATCACCACTTGATGGGCTTGGCGTTTGCGGCAGAGCCGGTGGCCCGCAGGAATCCATTTATTTCCCTCCCAGCATCTGAGACTTTGCTCTGTATCTCACTCACATCCCAAGATGACCTTAACCACCCGCTGAGGCTGAAGGAGGAGAAAGGGAGAAAGAACAGGGGCATCTGGGTCTTTCCTCCTCTCACCTCTTCCTTGTCTCTTCCTGTGTTTCCCAAGCCACCCAGCCATGTGCAGTTTTTTACTGAATCCAAGCTGTTCCCGCTGGAGCCTGTCACTATTGTTTACTGACCAGCTGCTATGCCCTGGGCCCCATGCTAGCTCCCTGGGTTCCAGAGGTAGGCTGGGTCAGGCTGAGTGCTCAGCCCCACAGGGAGACAGACACGGAGTCATTCTACCTTGTTGATTTGGTGGACTCCTATTCATCCTTTAAAACCCTATTAGCTTTCTCCTCTGTGAAGCTGTTTCTACACAAGCCACGGAAAAACCCTCACCCTGTTTCTGTGCAGTCTGGCCTTGTGTATCCACAATGTTCTGTCCTTAGTGTTTAGATGTCTGCTGTCTTGCCTCTCACCTTGACTAGACTGTGGCTTCTAGAAGGTTTGGGGGAGAAGAATCGTTTTAAACATGAGACATCCAAAACTTCAGGGCATTTTTATTTTCACTCTTCTCCTTTGTTCTTTTAATGACTCTGAAATATGGTTTGGGGATGCAGTAAATGCCAGAGCCCTGGGGGTAGGCCAAGGCTGCCAGGAGGGGAAGTGATGTTGCCAGAAGGAGGGGAGGCAGACTGAAATCTAAGACTTTGCTGGGCCAGTGATGCTCTGACCTTCTCCAGACAGGTGTGACTTGAGAGAGTCCAGGGGACCTGCGGGTGGCTGTGACTTGAGGAAAAGGAAGGAAGATTAAGAGCTGACCTAGAATATCCAACACGGGGAGGGGGGACATGGGCAAGGTGGAGGCCCAGTCACACCACCCGCTCTCATCTCAGGTAGAGTTCCTAGAAGCTCAGGCCCAGAGTCAGCGACACAAGTATGGCCCAGAGCCAGGCAGGCATGCACACTGATTTTGCACACATCCACACTCATGTTCACACACGTGCACACCCACACACCCGCATTCACGCATGCACACACCCACATCCATGCGTATGCCCGCACATACACCTGCACAAATGCATACGTGCACACATCCACACTCATGCACACACATGCACACTCACATGTGCACAAGCAGGCACACATGCTTGCACAGACTTGTGCTGGGTCCCCTGGCGCTGTGCCAGAGGAGGAACATTTAGGGCTCACACACCCTGACTGTAGCACCAAGCTCCCTGGGGAGCCCAAGGGACTGACCCCATTCATTTATTCACTGACCTACCCACTCATTCCCCCGGGACCTTTCTGTGCGGGACCCTGGGCTGAGCACCAGTCATACAGAGATGAACATGAGAAGACACGGTGCACCCCTGACCATTCCCAGGCCACTGCAGGAATATGACAGCAGCCTCGTCGTGGGGCCAGGCCTATGACAGACTGCGGCCCCTCCAGGGAGCCCCTGGCCCAGCCTAAGAGTGACGGGCAATCAGGAGAGGTCCTCTGGGAGAAGGAGATTGTCAGGTCCATGTCAGCCCAAGTCTGAGCCACACAGCCTTCGTCAGCCCTGCTCCTACATATCCCTCCTCATTTCCCTTCCTACCTGGCACCTTTCCAGCCACCCTGTCACCCGACCCTGCACCTGTTTTATTTTTCCACATAGCACCTGTGCTATGGGAACTCTCGCTCACATACACATGCACGCGCACACATGCTCCCTTCTGTATCGGTTTATTTTCTCTCTCCCACCCGAGGGCTGGCAGCCCGTCTGCCCCTGTGTGTCCTCGCCCAGTTCGGTTTGGCTTCCCGTGACTCTCCCTGGTAACTGCTGCCCCAGGCCCAGGAGCCTGGCAGGTAGCAGGACGAGTCAGCATAACTGGGTGTTCAAAGAGGGTGATCGTTTCAGGCAGAGGGCACGGAGGGAAGCCAAGACACAGGATGTGATGCTGTCCCGGGGACTCCTCACACCACCCTCTCCAGCGGGAGTTCGTGTGCATGAGGCTAACACCAGCGGCCCTAACAGATAATCCCAGCGTCACAGGGAGCAGCACACAGAAATGTCTTGCTCATTTATGGGAAGGCCCAGGGTCGGTGTTCCTGGTGGACACATGATGCTCCTGCAAGGACGCAGACTCCTTCCATCCCACGGCCTTCACTCCAAAATCTCGGGTCCTCACCCTCCAGCAGAGGAAGGGGAAAGCGGGTATAGAAGGCCCACATGCCCAGTGTCACTGTGCTCACATCCTACTGGTCAGAACCAGTCACATGGCCACAGCCAGCTGCAAGGGCAGCTGGGAAATGTAGTTCTTGCCTCCGCAGCCACTTCCTTGTGAAAAGGGAACAAAAATGGTGGATCATTGGAGGGGGCTGCCATGGTATCTTCTTATTCCATTTCAGAGGCGAGGAATCTGGGGTGCTGAGGGGTTTGGCCCCTTATTCAATGTCCCGCAGCCGACTCAGAACCAGTTCTGGGAGGCTAAGCTTTCCTGTAGGGCTAGCTGGTGAAGAATGTTGGCCACATGGTGCTGCCTGTTCCCAGCCTGTGCAGGATGGACGCCCACAAGCACACTCCTGGCCTCTGGTTGTCATCGTGTAGCCCCGGCATGCTGTCTCTGCCTTGGGCCCCCGTCCCCCTGCACCCCCCCCCAATCACCTCGTCATCCTGCAACCCACCCCCTCCCCCGCAGGTGCCTGTGCTGAAGCCCATGGATCTGATGGTGGAGGTGAGCCCACGGAGGGTCTTCGCCAACGGCCACACCTACCACATCAACTCCATCTCCGTCAACAGCGACTGCGAGACTTACATGTCGGCGGACGACCTGCGCATCAACCTCTGGCACCTGGCTGTCACCGACAGGAGCTTCAGTATCCTTTCCCGCGCCATCTCTCGGGGGGCTTCCGGAAGGGGGTGGCTGGCTCAGTTCTGCTTTTGCTCAGCTTCTTCAGCAAGTGAGGCCCCGATCTGGAATCCTAATGAACTGGTTTACGAAACTCTAAATCCGTGGCTGCCGAGGGTTATATTCGACCCCTTGCCTTCTCCGGATGGCTGTGTTCCCTGTCGTTCTGGGACCGCCTCGGGGACCGCAGAGGAGAGAGAGTCTGGGGTGTGCCCTCCCAGAGGAGGGATGGCTAACCCATTGGAGAGTCAGCCGGAGGCTGCTCTGGACCCTCCTCCCTGCAGCCCGAGGCAGGGGCCTGAGCGTGTGATGAGCAGCCTTGGGGGCCCGGCTTAGGGGGATAGTCGAGGTGTCAGGAGCCCAGCTGGACGGGGTCAGAGGCGGGGCCTGCCTGGAGGTGCCCTATGTCTAGGTAAGCTAAGGACAGTAGGATGGACTCTAGACCCTACTGGCTGGTGAAGAAAGAACTTGGTACACAAGCACGAGCCTGGGAGGGGCCCCCATGGACAAAGCTACTGTGTCACCGTTTGCAGGTCAGTAATAATAATCCTACACAGTGGGGCTCTGCGCCTGACTTCAGCATGTGTTCATGTCAACTCATGTCACCCTCATAACAATCCGGGAGGTAGGTGCTATCATGACTTCCTGTATCAATGAGGAAACTGAGTCCCAGGGAGCCCAAGTTAACCCACTCAGAGCTCACACATACAAGTGTCCGACCCAGCACTTAGCACCCCAAACCCCTAACTCCCCATCTCCAACCTTTCTGTCCAGTTGCCTTTTGTGAATTCTGCCTCCCAGGTGTGCAATGGAACGGGGTAGGAGGCAACCCTCCCCCACCCCAGAACGGTCGTGCAAGCTGACAGTTTCCCAAGTGTCCCCTCTGTGCTGGGTGCCGGGCTGCTCCTGCCGCCAGAAGCTCCCAGCATAGGATGTCTGGCCTGCTACTGCTGCTGCCTTACCTAAGGTCACGAGTAGGTTGTGTCCATCAGAGCAGAAGCCAGGGCTGGCCGGGAGGGCGTGTGGGAGCAGGAAGGAGCTGTCTGGAGGGCTTGAAGGTGAGACAGAGGGTAGCACATGGCTTCTGAGGGCTGAGAGTCAGGGGCTGGCCAGAGGCCACTGGGCAGAGAGACCTCGGGAACAGGGAGAAAGGGGGCTCACAGGAGCAGAGAACAAGTGCATGTTCTTCCCTGAGCCCCTTGGGTGGATGTGGGGCTTTGCGGTCACTGTGAGCCTCTGCAAGAGTCTCCCTCTGCCCCCTAAGCTCGCTGATCTTGGGGAGTAACCGGCTCCCTGTGAGCCTCACAGACCCCTCCCTGCTAGGACTGCAGCGGGCGCATTCAGTGAGCCCCTCCCAGATGCGCCCAGCACAGAGCTGGTGCTCGGTGTCAGGAAACGAAAGCATCTGTCTCCTTCCTGCCCCAAAAGGGTGGAGGGCTCTGAGCCAGGAGGGTGGAAGTGGATTGTGGTGAGCCCAGAGTTCAAGGACGAGCTGAGGCTGGAGGAATGGAAGCTCAGATTTGGCTTGGTGGAGAGAGCTGGCGTGGGCATCTGCCTGACGCTCCGTTCAGGCTGAAAGCCCAGTGGGCCCTGCCCTTGTTCCCAGTGCTGAGAGCTTCAGTGGGTCAGGACTCCTTTGGTTGCAAGGCTTAGAACACCTCATCCTTGCTGACTCAATCAAACACAGGCATTTACTGACTTGTGGATCATGAGAAGGCTTCAGGCACAGCTGGAGCCAGAGGCTGAAACAATGCCATTAGATGGTTCTCTCTGCTTTTCTTGCATCTGCTCTCTGCTCTGGTTTGTCTCAGGTGCCCCATGGTGGCAAACTGGGGACAACAGTACATGCCCTGTCCTCCCAGAATAAAGTTCCACGAGGAAAGAGACCACTTTCCTATAACCTCTCCCACCAAGCCCCCAGATGGCACCCATGGGCTCTGATGGGGGCCTCAAGGGCACCTCTGAACCTGTGACTGTTGTGGGGGTGGGATACAGTGCTCTGACTGGTCAGACCTGAGTCAAGGGTGCTGGAGGGGGTCACTATAGGGGTCCCCTTGGGAAAGGCAGGCACTGTCCCAGCAGTTGGGGGTCCCTGCGGAGGATCACACAGCCAGACGTCCCCTGCCAAGTTTGAGGTGTTGACCAGTTTCCTAGCAGAACAAAATGGGTCACATGGCAGCTCTAGGTCTGCAAACAGGGTGGGCACAGGACTTGAGGGACTGTCTCGGGCTGTCCTCAGCGCTTCCTCCTAGCACTCGACCATGTTCCCTTCGCTGTCTCACTTGACCTTGGTGTTGGTGTGAAAGCTGAATGCGGTGGCACGTTATCACCCCATTGTGCAGTGCAGAAATAGAAGTTCAGGGAGACTGGGGGCTGGGCTGACGGGGGCAGAGCTGGGACTCACCCTTGGGCCTCCATGGCCTGGGCCGAGGCTGTTTGCCCTGCCCTCGGGCCACCTGCTGCTGTGGCCACTCTCCTGGAGCTCTGGCTCCCTTGTCATAGGACCAGGCTGGGGACAGGCCTCAGGCCAGACTAACGCTGCTGGACTGCTGTAAGAACTCAGTAACACTGTGAATGCCCTCACCCTATACAGCTGTGTAAGGGATAGTGCTCCCTTTCATTTAGCCATTAATTCCTGGTGCCTCTTCTGACCCGGGCCCATGCTGAGCCCCAGGGACACAGGGACAATGAAAGAAAATCGGCCCTGCCCGTGGGGGCCTCTGGACTGTGTTGGGAATATCACACTTGCTGTGAGCGGGGCAGCACCCACACAAGCTGTGGTGGGCAAGAGTGGGCGTGGCAGGGCATGACAGGTGAGGACGGTGGGAGAGCTGTGCGTGTGTGTCCTGGGTGGACTGGATTCCAGCAGGCAAGCCTGGAGCCCAGGAGCCCAGGATTCCAGCGAGGAGATCTGGGGGGAAGCAGCAACGAGTAGGCAGGGGTTTGGCCGTGGGCAGGAGGCAGTGGAGTAGTGGGGCAGTGGGCCATATCATAACCATCTTTCAGACTGAGGTGGCCACAGGACATTGGAACAGGTTAGTCATAAACAAGAAAAGAGGGTTGATCCACCTCAGGACTGCAGGCACGGTCCTCCTGAGTCCTTATGACCAGCGGCGCCTCCTTGCCCCGTTTAAACACATGGATTGTGTCCTGTCCACATGCTGGGGAGCATGCCATTCACCACTGTATTTATTGAGTGCCTACTGTATGCCAGGTTCTTTGACTTTGAACTAGATAGACAAAGAACCTTGCCTTCCTGGAGCCAACAGAAAGTAAACCATTCATGTAATAAATAAGTACATTACCTAGCATGCAGGCAGCTGGCAGGTGCTGGGAGACCACCAAGCACAGTACTGTGCAGTTTCTCCAGCCCCATTTATCTGCGGGGCTGCAGGTGTGGGCTAGATGGAGGGGTGGTGGGGAGTCTCCTGGGCCGTGCGGTGGTTGTGGAAACCTCCCCTGCTGAGACCTGTTTGTCAGGGAGCCATGGTGCACGTGGCACTCCCTGGGGCCTGTTGCTGCTTGGCCACCAGTATGATGAGCCCCAGGGGCCCCACGCAGAGCCTGGTACCAGCACTGCGGAGGCCGGCGTCCTGGCAGAAAAGGCGTTGGGACCATGGGCTGCCACCACGACATGGGTCTTGCACCGTCAAGTAACTAGAAAAGGTGTTTCATTTCCAATGTGGGAGGAATGGCTCCAAACTGGGAGACCCCATTTGGGCAAGCACATGGCCAGGTGTTCTGGGCCAGGGGCTTCACCGTCCTTTAACTCTTGCCCTCCGGTGTCTTGACTTGCCCCAGTGGGCACTGTGGTTCAGGCTCTGATCCCCCAAAGTCTCCTGCTGTGGAACTACCTTCTTGTAATACTTTCCACCCTAGCAGAATTGATCTCTAGCCAAGGTTTTGAGAGAAAGGAAAGCCTTCTTAATAAAGGAGAGAAGGTGGGCATTGTTTGGATCAGTGAGAACAGATAGTGAAGAAGCAGACTCAGAGGACCTTTCTGCTGCTAATTTGAGATTTGGCTGCTGTGCATGGAGATGCAGGGAGCCCGGTGCTCATGGAGCCTCCGTATGTTTGCCAGGCACCTCCTTCCTTTCCCTCGCCCCCAAGATGGAAGGAGGTGCCAGGCCCTTTCCTTCCTCCCCTTGGATGGCTCTGGAATCAGGCTTTCCTTCCCATCCCTGCCAAGGCCCCGCTGCAGCCACATGGTTCCTGCCTGGCCCGTTGCCTGGATCCTACACAGCCCAACCCCCTTGGCCCTGCACAGAGCTGGGAGAACGGCTCATCAGATCCTCTGCTCTGAGCATGTCGGGCCCTGGCTTAAAGGTCTCAGTGGCTCCCCATCAACTCCTAGAGAAAGCCCAAATCCCTCAGCAATGGCCCCTAACCCGCCTCCCCAGGCTCCTGTGCATCAGGCCTGACCACACCGTCGGGCCATTGGGGTTCCCTTCATGTTATTGGGGGAGATTAAAGGGAGAGTTGCTCTGCCTTCTGCTATTCCTCTTCTGGATTGTTCTTTCTCCTTCTTGTAGCCTGGCTGGCTCCCCTTTGCCCATAAGCGTCACTCACAGCCCCCTTTACCAGGTCACCTCTGCTCTGCTCACTCCGTGTGCCTCCTGGGCTGTCAGAGCCCCTCTGAGCCCACACTACCTGGTCACACTGGGCTTTTCCTCCTCAACCCGTTTTCTGGAGAAACCCTTGAGATGAGGCACACCCCCTCTGAGCCGTCTCTGAATCCCCATACATAAGGCAGGGTCTGGCACATAGTAGGTGCTTGGGAATGGTTGTACACAACGACTTTGGATGGAGGAATTCCAGTGTCCATCCGGTGTTAGGATGTAGACACCTCCTTATAAATCTGGGCTCAGGGTTACTCAGAGACCCCGGGCACAAATGAGCAGCGGTCTGGGCTCTGAGGTCTGGCAGACCTGTGCTCAGATTCATTGTGTAACCTCCTTGGCCACTGAT